CTTTTTTTTTTTTCCCTACTTTTCAGAGCGAGGGTGAATTATTCAAAGTATTCGCGCGTCGCGTTTACGAGATGCGTGGAACGATTGTCGCGCGTTGTTGAATAGTCATCGACACGGGGTGTGCGTCGGTCGGCAAAAAGAAATCGGGTGGATAGGGGAGAGAGGGGGGGGGGAGGAGGAGGGAAATTCTCGAAAACGAGAAGTTTCGTCGTTTCTTCTTGGTCGCTAGTCGGGTAGGGGCTAGTAGTCATCGATGCACGCGAAGAAGGGGCAATGTGCATCGCGCGCACGTTTCGTTCGTACGCGGTGCACACAAGGCGGGGGCGCATGTGTGAGATTTCCATTTCCCCCTTTGCCAACATCACGCACTTGATGTCCTCCGCCTCCGCCGTCGCCCACCAGTGGATGTCAATGACTCGGATGACTTCGTGAATATTCGTCGTCAGTAACAACGACGCCGACGACGACGACGACGACGACAGAGGAAAATCGATTGCCATCCAGACACCGAGACTCCTAGCAGGGGTGTCGGGGATCTCACCGTGCCGAGCGAGCCGCGATGAAATGAAACGAGAAAAATTCAACGAGTTTGTTTCCCTGTCTTTCTCCCACCTTTCCGCCCGCCTCGTCCTTTTCAAAGAGGATTTAAAGCGTTCGAGCGTCGATGTCTGATCGTGTTATACGTATAGATAAAAAAAAAAAGAGAGGAAGGAAAAATAGAAATAGAAGGAGAAGAAGAATAATAGATAATAGAAAAGAGGGGGGAGGGGGGGGAAGAGAAAAAAGAAAAAGAAAGAAGAAAGGAAAGGAGGATTAAGAGCGAACGACGATTTTTTATTTTCGCATCACTGCGAACGGTATCACGACGGCCAATCACGTCCAATTTTTTTCAACGCCACGTCTAGTTGAGCACGAGATAAGACATGTTTTTCTTTTTTTTTTCTTCTTCTTCTTCTTTAAATTATCGCGACCTCGTTTATTTGACAGGAAGTTCCCCTGTTTCCGGCAACGCGAGATAGGGTTAAAAAAGACAGACAGCCAGACTGGTTGACCACCTCGGCAATCTCTTACAACCACCGTCTGCACCGTCCACATTCTCGTCAGCCCCCCCTCCACTCTTCCATCCCTCAGTCGGCGACCAACACACGCTCGAGCCGCTAAGTGCACCCCCTCTGCATCCACCCTAAGCTATAACACATGCTCGCTAACTCGAAGACTAGGTATTTTCCACGTCGTATTTCAGCTATCGTATGCACGCTACATACGGTACATAGTATGTAGTGTTATTGTCGTGTCAATTTGCCGTGTATTTTGCGTTAACTCGCTTCCTCTAAATTATCATTTGCTTCGAAATTTAATGATCGCTCGCACGAATCTTCGCACGTGCTTCGTCTGGCGAGGTAGCCGGAAAAACTTTCCCGGTATAGATTAAACTTGAACTGCGTTTACTTTTTAAGACTCGGGCAAGTCTCGTTGAATACGCGGTGTGCATAAATTACGAGGCCGCGTCCCCCGAGAATACTCATCCAGAACAAAAGAAACAAGGCCCTCGTTATTATTATACTTGACGCCGGGCTGCTCGTCCAGTCTCGGCGTAGCCCCCCGCCCTGTCCCGGTTTATAAATGCAAAACGAACGGAGAAACGGTCTTTGCACGACCGATGTCGCACACACCTCGAGTTTCACGAGTTTTATAAGGTGACAGAACAGAGCCACGGGGAGTAGCACGGTGACTTTTCTTTTAATTAATTTGGGAATTACCATGAAACCTGGCAGCCGGTCTCCCACCCCACCCTCCCACCGGGCCCCTGCATTATGAACAACTTTTATAATTAAGCAATGAAGGAAACTTCGTTGAAAAATTCGTGTCTACACGGCTCTTTCGTCTCTCTCTCTCTCTCTCTCTCTTCTTTTTTCTTTCTTCTCACCATCGCGTCACCATCTTTCTCGATGGAACTTAGCACCGTTTCTGTTTCTCGATTTTCTTAACTCGCTTCTTAACGCTCTTTCGTTATTTTTTCCTTTTCATCGAAAATTCTTCCTCTCGTTTCGACGAGTTCGTGGAAAATTTTAACGATTCTGAATTCTCGCGTAATAACAATCGGGAAATGTATTTAAAGGGGATGAACATTTCGCGAAATGCAAATTTATCGTCCCCGATTTTCAACGTCTTCCCGACGATCATCGAGTAAATGATATAATTTGATGTGAAAAAAATTCGAGGGAAGAAAAAGAAAGAGTATCCAAAGTTATAAAAAGATATAGAAAGTTTTTGTTCCACGGCTATTTTGTATAATTTAACGGGTTCATGCATATCTTACAAACTATCGTGGAAAAGATATTGATCTAACTCCGCGGATTTTCCCTTCGCGGAGTTAACGTACATTGTCTCGCGAGTTTTTATTCCTGTTCGTGATTTTTAGATCGCGAACGCGTCATTCGATGACGACACATTTTTCAATCACGCAAATGGCACGCTTGCTCGCAAAGGAAAGAATGAAACTCTTCGTCGCGTCCCATTATTGTTCTTTTAATTAAACAAGATTCGTTCGAACGAAGATTCATTTTTCTCGTTTTTTAAAGATATTCGATCGACGCGATTTTCATTCGTTCGTTCATTTTCATGACTCGACCGAAGAGAGATTGAACGCGAAATTGAATATGAAAAAAATATAATATACATCTGTCTTCAACCTTGGATGATTAACGGTATAAACGGATAAAAACGAATCTCTGACACTTGATTTTTAAAAACTATCCCATAATCTCCGAGGGGGCGATCTATATCCATCACGGGATCGACATACGACGATATTAAGCATCGGCCATTTTTCTCCCCTGGAACTAGGTTATGTTTTTCCAAGATTCTTCCGCTGTCATCCCTCATAAATTGAAAGATCGAGGTGCAGCTGCGTTCGACAGTTAATTAAACGGGAAGCAAGAACAACTTTCAGAAGATAAAGAGCAACCAAGTATAGCTGTGTGTGTCTCGATTGCAACAGGAAGATGCAATTTTTATACTTTCGATTCACAGATATTGAGACTCGCGCCTGATTTATCATCGACCCTTCGAAGTTTTTTCTTTTTTTTTTTTTTTTACAGCTTACAACTTACTTCACCAACTTTTTCTTTCTACCTTTCCAATTGTACGATTCTTCGCCTGTATCGATTAATTCGACGATATTCGTTTCAACGTGTCGTGGATTTTTAATTACACCGTATAGCTAGGAATAACAGGAGAAACCGGTTATAATTAGCCTGACGAGGCTAATAACTGATGAAACTATCGAGATTCGTCGGAGAGATCATCGAATCTTGGATCTCGATAAATTGCAGCGCAAGAATGAGACCGGAAACAACTTTTGTCGTGATCCCGTACGTTTCTCGTAAGAAGAATATACTCTTCGACTGCGCCCATTTCCGGTGCATCGTGGCTTTTAATTATCCGCTCTGGTTATCCGGTGATCCAATTCCAAGGACGAATCGCCCCGATTCGAGGCATTGTGCTATCATCCGATATCATCCCCGGAATCAACGAAATAATCGATGCCCACCCTCACCAGATTATTCTAATTCTCTCGTTTGTTGTGCTTTCATATATATAATACGTTAAATTGTAAGGAAGGTAAAATTAAATAACTAAAATTTGTTGGATTGTTCAGCGTGTCAGAGAAAAAAATTTGACACGCTATCCTTACGATCTCATCGTTTATTTCATTAATCAAAATTTTCTATCTCGCTACGACGCCAACATCCCATCCATTTGTACACCTGTCTCGAGGCACAATGCGTTTACATCCGAAACTTTCATCCATCTAATCAAAAGGTTTTTACTATTGCTCGCGTCGCGGCCAGATTTACGACGGTTCTGAAACATCGCGCGAAATTAAATTGAACGGGCTTGTAAAGAACGGATTATGGCGTAGGCACGTTGCCGCTTTAATTATAACGGCGGGCAACGAAGTGGCGACACGCGTGGAGGGGAAAAAAGAGTGCGAAACTGATTTCGTTTCGAGTTTTACAACGTTTCGCGAGCAAACTCGCGAATATTTTAACAGCGATACCACGCTGGAGGAGGAGAGCGCGTTGTCGCATTCAATAAAGCTGTGAACGAGGGGGGAAGAGAAAAAAAAAGGTTGTTTCACGAATGTTCTAATAACCAACTTCCGTTTAATACTCCTGTGCTTTGTCACAGCCGGGAAACGAGATTTACGAGATTCAAGCGCGAGCACTCGCTTCCCGATACAAAGTGCCCGACGTTCTGAACAACGCCTCCATAATTATTTCGTTGTAACTAAACAGAGGCGGTAATCTACGTGTAACAAAGTGCATAGTGGATTTGTCGGAAGCACGTGATGGAATTTATTCCCCTTTTACGTGAACCGAACTGAGCGCAACTTTACAGACACAATGTGCAATCACATCAACGCCGAGTTTTCGACTTTTTATTCCGCTACGTGTTCCATCAAGTGAAATGTACTTTAATACACGGAGATACTTAGATACTATTCGTTAGAAAAATGATGTATAAGCGTCAAAATTTACATCATCTTTTTCTAGTTCTAGTACATGAGTTTGGCAATTTTATCGTTCGAAAACCTTTCGTGTTCGATTCGTCATTTAAGAAAGATAAAAAAAATAAGAAAAAATTTATTTAGAGGATTGTAATATCGAGCTCGAATCGTGTGAATTCAATTACGCGTAATCAAGCACAATCGTTTATTCGAGTACAGATATCGAGGCGGAGAGACGAAGAGGAAAAGTGATCGCGAAAGGAACGACGACAGTTAGAAGAGAGTAAGAAAAGGCGACAGGGAGCGAGTATCATCTATCATCCGGCTGTTTACCAGTGAAACAGGCTGCAAATGCTATTCAATTTGCCTGATGGAAAGCCTCTCCGCTTTCCTTCCTTCCTTCCTTCCTTCCTTCCTTCCTCGAGCCGCGTTCCGCTTCGTATCGGCATTCCTCCGCTCCTAACTTCCTTCCTCCCTTTCTCCTTACCGCCTCCTTTCCTCCTCTCGTCAACCCGCCCTTTCACGATTCCTCACCGCGCTCTTTGTACCTTTCTCCACCCTTCATTTTCCGCCTTTTATCTCGTCGCGAATTCCCTTCTTTCTCGTAACCCAACTCGACCAACGATTTCTGATGTCGTCGTTTCTTCGACAAGACGCGCTCTTCTTTCGCGAATCTCTTGGCCTCGCCGCTGCAACGTCGAATCACGAGAAAGAAACGCGCAGAGAGGGAGGAAGAGATGGAGCGTGGATGGAGCGACTTAAAATGCAGCGACAGCGCGCGAAGATAAAAACCGAGGAGGAGGAGGAGGAGAAAGAAGGCGACGAGACGCGAGGGAGAAATTAGAGCGAAGGAGAGGGAATATATAGGAGCGAGAACTGGGAATATATATATACACCTTTGCCTCTCGTCTTACAAGAGAAAAGCTTTTTCCGTCCCCCTGTTTAGCCCCCGCGAGAGCGTGGCTGCAACGCCTAGCGACAAGTATTTCGCGATGAATAGGTGGAAGGACGTGAAATAGGATCGACGTCATACGGTGTTTCGCGACACCTCGTAAGGGAAAGCCGTGTAATTGAATCGTCGTTGTTCGAGAAGGAGGCGTGAAACGGGTATATAGTTGATGGATGACTATGGGCCTCAAATTTCTTCGATTTCTTAATTTCTTAACGCGACCAGGTCTCTAGCTGGTGGATTTTATTTCGCGCAAGAGAAGAAGGAACACAGAATATATGTAAAAGAGCGTGATAGATTTTTCTGTACGAAAGTTTGTGTCTCCCTCGCTAAAAAAAGAAAGCGTCGTACAAATAATTATCGGATACACCTTGTTCTTCGTAAAGAATCGACGAAAACGCACGAAACGAGGATGCACGGACGAATTGACGGGACGAATATCAGTTTCAAAAAAAAGAAAAAAATATTTCTATCTAATATTCGATCGAATAGGATCGGAAATTGAATTCTCGAGCCGAGAACTCTCTCCGTATTTAAACCCAACGACGACGACGACGACGACGATGACGACACCTTTGTGCCGCTTGGTGCGGCGGCAAAAGCGGAGCAAGAAGAATTTTCCTATAAATCTCCCGGTCCAGAAGCGCGGGTGACGGCAAGTGGCTCGGTGCTCGCCAGATCGCAAAGGCAGCGCGAAAGGGAGGCAGAGGGAAGGGTTGTAAAGGGGTTCCCCGTGGCGAGGTACAACGCCGCCAAGGGGGAGGAGGTGGAGGAGGAGGAGGGGGTAATCCACGCATCATATCTCACCGTTGACAAGCATTCATGACCCCTGGAACCCTCAATAGCGAACGACATCCACCGACAAACACCCTCCACCACCCCTTGTCCCCGCCAACCCTTCCGTTCCTCGCGCTCTCCCTTCCCGCCCAGGAACACCCCTTAACCTCGCGCCTTCCTCGGCCTCCCCTTTT